AGATGCTGAAGATCTGATGGACGAAGACTACCAAGAACACAAATGGATAACTGCCAATGAGGACATGGACTACAAAGACGAATACGAGTCTGAACTAGACGATGAAGAGACCAAGCAAATGTTAGACAAACTGGCAGCTGAGTTAGTGGAACTTGGAAAACCAGACAAAGAAGAGGTTCTGTTCGAGTTTGATGACAACACACAAGAAGATGTGGAAGTTGAATCAGAACAGGAAGATGGTGTCGCTCGCGCAGGAGTGAGATTCGCGGACACAGATGATGATGAGTCCAACACTGAAGGAATTGTAAGAAGCTACAGTGACGACGGCGTCAAGTTGGAGCAAAACGGGTACTTCGCCCAAGACACAATCGATCCTACTTCTCACAAGGGGCAAAAATGAGACCCACTGAGAGACACAGAAGAGAGAAATCAAGATTTGGACAGGCATACCTGCAAAAAAGGAATCCGTCTGTGCCAAACGTTTTGAGAAACAGGCGTGCGATGAGAAGAAAGGCACAAATGAAAAGACTCCGAGTCTCGCTGTATCAAGCGATTAAGAAACGAATTGACACGCAAAGAAATGGAGCACAGTTGCAAGGAAACCTTAAGCACGAGCGTTCCATCTGAGAACGCGTGCACAATTTGGCATTCCAACAAGTCGGGAACACAAACAAAGGCGAATATGACGCTGACAAAGCGTTGGTAGTCGCTCGTGTTATTCAACAAATACGCGATTGTGTCAACGGTGGTATCAATGGACAAGACGGAGTCTTGTTCATTCAGCAATACTATCTGAATAAAGGACTAAAGATATTCAAGGAGCGAGGTAAAGACGCGGCCATGAAAGAACTTGACCAATTAATCAAGCGCAGTTGCTGGACACCGATCAGTATTGAGAAACTGAAACCGACCAAAAGAAAGAAGGCCGTAGATGCGATGATGCTACTTGCCGAAAAGAATGATGGCGTAACAATCAAAGGGCGGTGTGTATTCAAAGGTAACGAGACCCGGGATTGGTTGTCTCGTGAAGACACTGCAAGTCCCACAGCTTCGCATGAAGCTATTATCTGCACGGGTGTAATTGATGCCCATGAAGGTAGAAACGTCATGTCAATGGATATACCTAACGCGTTTATCCAAACATTAATGCCCGAGCAGGAAGAAGGAGAAGATCGAGTAATAATGAAGATTACTGGGCTGCTGGTCGACTACATGATTGACCTAGATCCGACGTATCGGGATTTTGTAGTAATCAAAAATGGACGTCAAGTGATCTATGTTGTGATCCTCCGTGCTATTTATGGGATGTTACAGGCTTTGTTGTTATGGTACCGAAACCTGAGAGCATCACTGGAAGAATATGGATTCGTGTTTAATGTATACGATCCGTGCATTGCAAATATGATGGTCAACGAAAAGCAATTGACTATCAGGTTTCATGTTGATGATGTGCTAGCGAGCCACATGGAACAAAGAGTTCTTGAGGATTTCTTTACATGGATAAATGGGAGATACGGAGGACTAAAGGAAGTGACTTGCACACATGGACGAGTTCACACCTACCTGGGAATGACATTGGATTATTCAAAGAAAGGCAAGCTGAAGATTCGAATGGACGATTATGTTCAAAGAATGCTTGACGAATTTTCTGTCAAGTTTAAAGTGGATGACAAACAGGAAACACCTGCTGGCAATAATTTGCTGGAGGTAGGAAAAGGAAAACTATTGGATAAAGATCAACAGACCGAGTTTCACCAGTTTGTTGCAAAACATTTGTTTTTGACTAAACGCGCGCGTCTGGATATGCATCCGACGGTGGCAAATTTGGCATCACAAGTTCAAAACCCAAATCAGAGTGATTGGCATAAACTCGTGAGACTTATGAGATACATGCACTCTACCAAGAAATGGCATCTCACGCTGAGCGCTGACAACCTTCGTGTAATGAAGTGGTATGTTGATGCGTCTTTTGCAGTTCACCCTGACTTTAAGAGTCACACAGGAGGAGTGATGACCATGGGTGGTGGAGCCATGCAGGCTATGTCCAAGAAACAGAAGTTAAACAGCCGCAGCAGTACACATGGAACTAATTGGAGTAGATGATGCGATCACACAAGTGTTGTGGACACGCATGTTCATGGAAGAACAGGGTTATCCGATTGAGAAGAATATCTTGTATCAAGACAACATGAGCTCTATTCTCCTCAAAAAGAACGGGAGGTCGAGTGCAGGAAAGAGAAGCCGCGCTTTGAACATCCGCTATTTCTTTGTCACTGATCAGGTTGAGAAAGGAAATCTTACGATCGAACACATGCCAACCGATGACATGTGGGGGGATTATATGACGAAACCTTTGCAAGGGGAGAAATTCCGCAAATTTCGGGAATTGATCCAAGGGGATCAGGAAGATTAGATATAACCTTCTTGGGTTATATATACACGTTACATATTGAAAGAAAGAAGATTTGTTATCGCAACTGTAGTCGTCGATACGACAGGAGTGTGTTGGTGAAATGGGATCTTGATAGATAATAGAACAGTCGAACATGTCGGACAGTATAGTCGGACATTGATGATATCGAACACGGACAGAAGTACGGTTCGAGTATGTACAGAGATGGATAAGTATTGAAGGTAGATCTACTCTGTGACTAGTTTGTGAAGAACATGTGCGTATGTGCTTCATACGCCGCGACAGCTGGTGAGAGCTGACACAGATGGCTTCCGGAAGAGATTTTTTGTACCTGCTTGTGGAGATCATTGTTGATCGACTTCTGGCAAGAATAGCAGTAGAATAAGATCTAATAGGAAGTGGTGAGACTGTTCATCCGCAGGTTGAAGCCCAGCATCACTGGCACCTGTTCCTATTGTAGGCAATCCATAGCCGACGTAGATTCAAGCTCAGTATACTCCAGAGGTAGCTAGAGCGTTGAGGCTCTCATTACAGTTACGGAGTTGATAATCTGACACCTATCAGAGGATTTCTGATGCTCATGGGAACTCAGTTCAAGACTTTGAAGATTCTGTTGGTGAATTCATCTGCAAATACACGGGCGAGAATCCGAAGTATCAGGCGAACATGTATCTCTTTGATACTTCCAACCACATTCGCAAACCATATAATACTGAAATTGGAATTCACGCAAATTGCTTGAAAACCCTATTTATGTATCATGATATGCTTCCTGGAAATTGTTCCAACGTGAACAATGAGAACGATCCGGGGCAAATTCGGAAGAGAAAGCTGGCACTGTTCCGCTCCTTTCCAATTGATTGGCAGGGAGATTTTATCAATTCGCGGAATGATCCGGCGAACGACGATAATATTACGTGGAAGGATATTGTCAGTTGGATGACACAGAAGAAAAGAACAGTGGACAGGAAGAGACTTATGCAGGAAAGTTCTCCCCGTCAAACTCGACCTGGTAATCGCACAGGCGGTAGAGGCCTTCACCACAATCGTTTTCGTGGTGGTTGTGGTCATGGTCGACCAAGCAATGGTTATCAACCATATCCAAGACCCTCAAGCTCTCCAAGATATTCTCAAGGGACTTCACAAAATTTTCAACGTGGAGGCAATTCCCAGCAACAAAACCAAGGACGATTTCAACCAAGACACCCCAACAATGGTGGCAGAGGCCGTGGATTCAATGGCCAGCACAGTGGACGCTCCCAACCAATTCCCAGCAACAAAACCAAGGACGATTTCACCCAAGACACCCCAACAATGGTGGCAGAGGCCGTGGATTCAATGGCCAGCGCAGTGGACGCTCCCAATCTGGTCGTTTTCAGCCAGGACGAAACTATCAAGGCAGAGACCAATCACATCAACAAAACAGTCAAAACTTCTATGCTGAGTCGCACTAATCAAGAAGCTGAAAGCTTCGCTGCGGAATGCAGTGTTCCGGAATGGAACCAAGACGGAATGTCTTATGGCGGAATGCCAAGTGCCAAGCAGTACCAGCATCAGGAACAATATTATCAAGCTGGAGAAAATCAGCAATGGAATGATCAGTACAACTATGAACAAGAAGAGTATTATCCTGAAGAACAGGAGGCGCACGAACATTTTTCCTATGATGAGGATTCGCCATTTTCCTTTCAGGAAGAGCATTACTGACCCAAAAGTACTCGTAAACTAACAAAGCTTCCTAAGCTTCCTTACCCATTTCTGGAACCTGATTTGTCTTCGTTTCTTTCAGCATTGGAAAAATTTGATGATGAAAATGGTCCCATGACTAAAGATGAAAAGGAGTTTCTTTTGAATGATTCTTTGCTTTGTATACCTACGCCAAAACAAGACGTAAATTCTATGGAGGATTCGATGAGAAAAAAGCGACTTTCACCTACATCTTTGGTGATTTGGAAGACAATTGGAGGAATTGAAAGTGGAAAAGTTTCACGAGTATTATTTGATTCAGGGGGATCGCATACGATGATCAATTCAAGGGCGATTCCTAAAGATGCTAAGGTACAAAGTATTCAAAATGCGAAGAAGTGTACTACTGTTGCTGGTGATTTTGTTTCTGACAAATGTGTAAAATTGCGGGACGGAGTCTTTCCCGAATTTGACAAACACCGCAGAATCGCAGGTGTTGACGGTGTCAAGGCAAATGTCTTTGATTCGCCCATGTGTCCACATGATGTCATAATCGGACGCGACATTCTACACGAAATGGGCTTGGATATCCAATTTTCAAACGGACAAGTCAAATGGATAGACAAGTTCATTCCAATGAAAGCTCCAGATCATTGGCAAAATCACACCAACTACTCAATGGCATTGGATCGCGATGTTTTAGATATCTACGATGATGATGATGCTGATGATGCCTTCATCATGGATGCGGAATATAAAGCTACTTCAGGTGCTGAAGTTGCTGACAAGCAACAACATCTAGCTGAAGATCAGCACAAACTTTTGGCTCAAGCGTTGAAGAATACCGACGAGATTTTTGATGGTCAACTCGGCCATTCCAAGCATGAGAAGGTTCACTTGGAGCTCATTGAAAATGCGCAACCCGTGTTTTCAAAAGCGTATTCTGTGCCAAAGCAACATGAACCTGCATTTCTCAAAGAATTGAAACATCTACAAGAAATTGGAGTTCTTGAGCGAACAGGCCCATCGCCAACATTCATCATTCCAAAGAAGGACGGTAGGGTGCGATGGATCAGCAATCTCAGACAACTGAACAAGAAAATCAAGCGTAAAGTATACCCCTTACCTTTGATTGATGATATTGTTGCACGCCGTTCTGGCTACAAGTACTTCACCAAACTTGATCTCACAATGATGTATTATTCTTTTGAATTGGAGGAGCCGAGCAAAAAACTTTGCATGATCAACACCCAGTACGGTCTGTACCAATACAACCGGATGGCTATGGGATTGAAACCGGCTCCTGATTTTGCCCAGTACTACATCAAAAAAACTCTATGCAACCTAAAACAAAAAGGTGTCAAAATTTATATTGACAATGTTGGCCTGTTCTCCAATTCCTACGAAGAACATATGGCCTTGATCCAAGAAGTATTTCAGCGACTACAAGCTGCTGGTTTCAAAATCAATCCCTTGAAGTGCAAGTGGTGTGTCCAAGAAACTGATTTCTTGGGCCATTGGTTGACTCCTGAAGGCGTCAAACCGTGGAAGAAAAAGATTGATGCCATCCTCAAGATGTCAGCACCTACAAATGTAACAGAATTGCGTGCATTTCTTGGTGCTGTTACCTTTTACCGCCACATGTGGCCGCGTCGATCTCATCTTCTCAAACCCCTTACAGAGCTCACAGGCAAAGGAATGTTTGAATGGACTGATGAATGTGCAAAAGCTTTCGCTGAGATGAAAGCTCTCA